GGGAGAGAACCCTTGTATTTTTAGAAGCACAGAGAGGCAGAGAAGCCAGAAAGCGCATACAGGAGAGGATGGTCAGTGCCAGGCTGCGGCGGCCTGTGGTCACCCAGCTGTGTGCTCACAGACACCACTCAGAGGCCAGTGAGCAGGAGACCACAGAAGGAACTCTGGCATCTTAAAGTGCCCAGTTTAAACTGCCTGGGGGAGCCAGTTCCACTCCTGCTCAAGTGGCTTCCCCTCCACAACCTGACGGCCAGGGCTGGCCAACTTCGGCTAGCCTTGTTAGCTCCTTACCAGGTCCATCTGGGCGCCAGCACTGACTTCAGAAACGGCCTAGGGCATCTACCCTACTAAGGCACGAGGTCAAAGTTCAACACACCACAGAGATGCAGGCAAGAGCAGACTCAGAAATGGGGGCAAATAGAACCCAAAGAGCATGACAGCAGTTTAAAATGCTACGATCCTCCAGCATCATGGCACGCCCGGGCTCTGAGCTCGGGGCCAAACGAGAAAGCAACAGCACTATTCCCTGTGGAAGGGAAGGTTCTAGACCACAAAGCACTTTCAGGTGTGCTCATCCTAAAAATGTAGGAACATAGGCAGGGTGGATACAACTGTACCTGTCTCACTGAGGAGGAAACTGAAGTGCAGGGATACGACTGGATGGAGTAGACAGCATCCCTGAGCATGTCCGGGGCAGGAACCATCAGAGTTGGTACCAGCGTGACAGGCTGGGTAAGAGCCTCCCTACTCTGTGTCTCGGTTACCAAACCGGCTGAATGAGGGTCTAAAGCCCAGGTTCTCTCTCAGGGCCCCTTCAGAAGCCCAGGGGGCCTCCTCCATTCCTCCCTTCCCCGGTTCCCACCCAGTTCTCCCAATTCTTCCACCTTTATTCTCTGGAATCTATCAGTTCCTGCCTTTGTCTCCTAGTGCCTCATTTTTGACCTGAAAGAGTGCCAGCCTCCTCGTGGCGTCCCTGCCCACAGTGCTGTCCCCTCCAGGCCCCTCACATGTGGTATGCAGCCCAATCTTTAAAGAGCACAGACACTCAGGTCACTTCCTGGCCAGATCCCTTTATCAGCTTCCACCTCTTGGGGTAAAGTCTGGCTCCTTCCCTTGGCCTTCAATGCTGGCATGAATCACACTCCCGCACCTGTCTCCCCAGTTTTATCTCTAGACATGTTCTCCTCATTTGCTCCACTCCAGTCAACAGTGGGTCATCTTGAGGTCAGGACTCAGGTGGAAGGACTCAGAATGTGGGAGCAGACCTAAAACACCCTTCCCAGTCCAGTACAGCAGCAATAAAGCTGAAGTCCTTCTCCTCCGTACTCCTACATCTGTCTCCCCGTTAGTTCTGAACTTGGAAAGGGCGGAAGGAGCCATTACTTCACCACTTCCAGAATGAGAGATGTTGGTCTTCCCATAGGCCTGCTCTGCTCACACTCACCACTGGCTGGAGCTGGCTCCTCCAAACCCCGTCCACCTGCCCCCCAGGTCAAAAGAGGCTTAATAGTGCTTCCTCCTCAAGAATGACTATATGACCCAGCACCCCCACGCCTAGGTGTGTACCCAAAATAACTGGAAACAGGGACTCAAACAGATAGCAGTACACCCACGTTCACAGCAGCATTATTTACAAAAACCAAAAGACAACCCAAGTGTCCATCAACAGCCAAATACAAAGGGACAAATATTGTGATTCCACTTACTTGAGGTACCAAAAAGAAGGAAACTCCAAGAGATAGAAAGAAGAACAGAGGTTACTAGGGGCTGAGAAGGGGAGAATGGGAAGTTATTGATTAATGAGTACAGTTTCTGTGTGAGATGATGAAAAAATCCCTGGGAACAAGTACAGGTGATGCTTGTACAATATTGTGAATGTGCTTGATGCCACTAAAATTACGTAAAGTACTTAAAAATGGTTAAAATAGCAAATTCTCTATCATGCATATCTTAGTACAATTTAAAAATTAAATTAATTAAAATATGCCAGCCAGGCATGGTAGCTCAAGCCTATAATCCCAGCACTTTGGGAGGCTGAGGCAGGAGGATTGAGCCCAGGAGTTCGAGACCAGCCTGGGCAACATATTGAGACTCCTATCATTGCAAAAAATAAGCGAGGCATGATGGTGCAAACCTGCAGTCCCAGCTACTCAGGAGGCTGAGATTGGAGGATTGTTTGAGTCCAGGAGTTAGAAGTTGCTGTGAGCTATCATGACACCACTGCACTCCAGCTTGGGTGACAGAATATACCAATATAAAATCCATGTATATAGAAGAAGATATTTAATAAAAATAGACAGGTGCTCTGGGGATAAAGAGTGGGAAGAAGGGAGGCAGGGAAGCATACAGTAATCAGCTAACCGTCCCGCCCCAGGGCCTTCCTTGACAGGTCAGCCAGATGCAATGAGGCATGCTCAGAAAATGAGTCACTTAGAAGTCGACTGCTGACCTGATGACATCAATGGGGGATTTCATCCGCTGCCTCTCCCGCTCAGGAACCGTGTGCCACGTGAACACCAGCCTCCAGTCAAAACCACCAATCTGGGGCTCCCCGGAGTTGCCCAGGTACTCAAAGGTGTTCCAGTCGATGACATCGATCACTGGGCACACCACTGCCGACTCCTCTTCATGGATCCTGAAAGCACCCAAGACATCCTGTCTCGCCTACGTGGACAGGCAGCAGGAAAACAATCAGGGAATTCTAGCATGAACTCACACCTGAGAAAGGCCTGCTCATCTCATTCCAGGTGTCTGCTGCCATGTCAGAACCCTGGCAGGTGACCATCATGGGGGATCCTGGGGGAGGGGGGGTAGAGTTTCACAGGAAACGTCCCACAGCTTTAATATTCTCTGATTCCATCTATGGATATTCTGATCAACCCCACTATGAATGTTAAGAGGTATAAAAATCAAAGGTAACTTGAAACACAAAGCAAATTTCTAATTTCCCAGGTGTGCAGTAGGTTTAATCACAATGAAACATCTTAACATCAAGAAGAAATTATCTCGGCCGGGCACAGTGGCTCACACCTGTAATCCTAGCACTCTGGGAGTTCAAACAGCCTGAACAAGAACAAGACCCCCATCTCTACCAAAAATGGAAGAGTTAGCCAGGTGTTGCAGTGGGCATCTATAGTCCTAGCTAGCTGGGAGGCTGACGCAGGGCGAATCACTTGGGCCCAGCAGTTTGAGGTTGCTATGAGCTAGACTGATGCCATGGCACTCTAGCCTGGGGCAACAGAATGAACCGAGCTCTCTCTCTCTCTCTCTCTCTAAAAAAAAAAAAAAAGACAAATAATTATCTCCCTCAAAACAAAGAGGGACCCAGACCAAAGTTTCAGCCCTGGAGCTAGAATATAAAAAAAGAGAGAGAGAGAGAAATAATTATCTTCCTCAAAACAAAGAGGCCCTAGACCAAAGGTTCAGCCCTGGAGCTAGAATATAAATTCTAATCCTACTCCTTACTCTCCGTGTGACATTAGCCGAGTTACCTAACCTCTCAAGAGCCTGTTGCCTCGATGGTAACAGTGGAATAATAATACCTATTTATACAGTTAACATGAGGCTTTCCCAAGAAAATGTTTGTAAGATGGCTGGCAGAAAACCTGGAACTACTGTAATTTTTTTTTTTTTAAGAGACAAGAGTCTCACTTTGTTGCCCTCGGTAGAGTGCCATGGCATCACAGCTCACAGCAACCTCCAGCTCTTGGGCTTAGGTGATTCTCTTGCCTCAGCCTCTGGGGTAGCTGGGACCACAGGCACCCGGCTATTTTTTGTTGTTGTTGCAGTTTGGCTGGGCCAGGTTTGAACCCGCCGCCCTTGGTATATGGGGCTGGCGCCCTACTCACTGAGCTAAAGGCACTGCCCCACTATTGTGATTTTTTTTAATTTTAATTTTAGTAATGGTGAAATATACATAATGCAAAACGTTACAATTTCCCTTTGCAGGTGTCAGCCTGTGTGGGGGTTAGCTGTTCTCTCCACAAACATTACCACAAGCCCACCCATCCTTCAGCATGCTCCCAGACTGTGTTTCCTTGTACCTGACACCACACCAGGAAAGATGAACTGAAACTGGACCATGTGTGAACACTAGTTTTCTTTGGATTATATTCCAGGGCTTGTTATCTCAAATTTGAGGCCTAAAAACCATAAGCGCCACACCACTCAGGACAGTGAAGCAGAAATTAACCAGGTGCTTGAGCTATAGTGACCTCAGAATAAGGGCAGAGAGTCAGAGTGGATGTTAGAAATACCACGCTGAGGGCGGAATTTCAATTTTAGGGGGAAATTGCATTGTCCAAGTCAGGCTATGTGAGACAGAGACTCAAGTTTGTAAGTTCCCTAAATTAAGGAAGTTACAAGCTGGGCATCCACCACTATCTACTCTTTAAAGAAACTGTGGGCAGAGAGGGCCGATGTCTGACCTGCTGAGCAAGTCCCAGAACATGCCTCGCCCTGACAAAGACCAGGCCCTCCGGGGACTGATGACTTGGGATCAAGCTGGTTGGACTCACCTGTCACCTAATTTCTACAGGAGGGGAGAAGGAGGAGTTCTGTACCAGCACTGGAATAAAGGATGTGCAGGCCTCACGGGGACGTTGTAGGCATCTACTCTTTGTTGTGTAGGGCTGGCCTCTGTACAAAATGCCAGGACCATGACCTGGTTGACATGATGACCATGAACACCCTTCTACATCTCCAAAGCCCCTGGAGTTAAACTGCTCCCGGCAGGAAGCACCTGGGGGACAGTCTATAGTCCAACATGTTCCAACTTTGGTTCACACTCAAGTCCCCTGGGGAGCTTCTGAAACATCCAGAAACCCAGGCCTCAGCCCCAGAGAGTCAGGTCCAAATGGTCTGCCTAAGAGTGGATATTGGTATGTTTAAAAAGTTCCCTAAGTATTTCTAATGCACAGCCCAAGTGAAAAGCCCCCTCATTTACAGGCACAGAGCAAGGACCTGGTTACAAGGAGTGCAGGCTTGCTCTCCAAAGGGTGCACAGAAATGGATCTGGGAGGCATTTGCGCACTGGCTGAAAAGGAAAAACATCCTCTCTCTGTGACTTCAGACCAGCCTAGAGGTGCACAGTGGGAGAAGAGGAACCCAAGGGTCCAGCCCAGAGAGGCCACTCGACTGTCACTATGTTCTAAATGATCTCAGACTCTGTCCTGGGTCTGAGGAACCCTGAGTCTTTGCTACTGGTGGAGCTCCATAGGTCTGAGAAGGAGAAAGAGGCAGCTGAAGCACCCACAGGGGCTGGGGCTAGAACAGCAGGAAGGGGCAGACCAGGGGGCAATTTGATCCCACCCAGGAAGGGAGACAAACGAGTCCCCAGCTCTTCCAGGTGACCCTAGCAACCAAAGTGTTGGGGGCCATGGGGAAGCAGTTTCCCAGCTGCAGAGACCCTGACCTCCAGCCCTTTCCTGCCCCACAGAGGGGAGGCCAGACAGAGACATCCTCACACCTTCCTGTCCCACCTGGGGAGCTCCTGGCTTCCAAGATACAGAGACAAGAGAATGGGTAGAGAGAGACAGAAGGGACAAAAGTCAGGGCCCACAGGATGGTGGCTTCCCGGAGGGGAAATTAGGAGGGTAAGCGAAAAGCAGGGACAAGGGCCTTGAGAACGGAGCTATATCATGACTTTCATGGGGCCCCTTCTTCCATAAAAAACATAGACATATTAAAAAGTACATTTTGCAACTACAGTAGTATAAAGACAAATAAAATCCAGGCTAGATTCATTATTGTATACTCATTATATATTCATTTCTTTCCCTTCTGATTTTAAAAGGAACTTAAGTAAAAACATTTTTGGGGCCTGGTGCAGTGCCTCACTCCTGTAATCCTAGCACTCTGGGAGGAATTTGAGCTCAGGAGTTCGAGACCAGCCTGAGTAAGAGCGAGACCCCATCTCTACTAGAATAACTAGCTGGGTGTTGTGGCGGACGCCTGAGGTCCCAGCTACTCAGAGGCTGAGGTGGGATGATTGCTTGAGCCTAAGAGTTTGTGGTTGCTGTGAGCTTTGATGTCACAGTACTCTATCAAGGGTGACAGAGTGAGACTCTGTCTCAAAAAAAATCAAAACATTTTTTTGGGATCCCTTCCAGGTTCACCGGTCCTCAGCACCATGCCTCCCAGGTATAATGGATAAGATAGCTTGAAAGAAATACAGCAAACAGTATATTCTCTAGCAGTGTGATTCCATTTGATTGACGATTTATTTTTAGTTTTCTTGGTTGAGGACACTTCCTAAATTTTCTAGGGTAAAGTTGGCTAAGTAGAAATAATAAAAGCAAACAGTGACACTGGGCCTCCTCTATACTGGTATAGTCTAACATTTCCCATGTGTTAAATGACTTAAGGTCCTCAAAAGACTGATGAAGCGGGCAAGGGGAGGTGAGGGCTTGGGAACACCTGTCACCATGCCCAGTGATAGAGGATCTGCCCAAGAGTGGCTGGACCCAGGCACCCACTGCCCATCCAACAATGAGACGCATTTGTTCCCTCCTCGGGAGGGCCAGTCACACACCTCTGTAGCAGCGGCTCCAGCCACCCCTCGTGGCACTCACAGTGACAGTCCAGGAAGGTCAGTACGTTGCCCCTTGCCGCGGACGCCCCCAGCAGCCGGGCTCGCACTAGGCCCTCTCTCTTGTTCGCGCGGATCAGGCGCACCTTGGGCAGACCTGACAGCTCGTTGGCCAAACGCTCCTTCAAGTGTTCTAGGGAGGCAAGTGGAGCAATAGTTACTGCCTCAGCCTACTCAGGGACCTCCCAGGCCTCCCTGCTCCAAAAAGGAGATGATACAGACACAAGCCTCCTTTGTTCTCTCCCTGGGGACATCTCATCTCACTCAGAACCCAGGTTGGAAGTGCAGTGAAGGCTAAGGGCGGGCTGGGAGGAAAGACGCCAGGACCACCACTTGCTCCCCACCAAAGGGCATGCACTGCAGGCTGGACTGTACGCTACACATGGGAGAGCTGCATGACATGCGACTGTATCTCAATTAAGCTGTTACCAAGCTTTGTAGCTTGACTTGTGAACATTTAAAAATAAAAAAACACTTGAACCATCTAACCACATTTTTTTTTTTTGAAACCGAGTCTCACTTGGTTACCTGGGCTACAGTGCTGTGGTGTCAGCCTAGCTCACAGCAACTTTAGACTCCTGGGTTCAAACGATCCTCCTGCCTCAGCCTCCCAGGTAGCTGGGACTACAAGTGCCTACTATCACACCCAGCTAATTTTTTTCTTCTTTATTTGGTACAGATGGGTCCCTACTTTTACTCAGGCTGGTCTCAAACTCCTAACCTCTAGCAGTCCTCCTGCCTAGACTTCCCATAGCACTAGGATTATAGTGTGAACCACTGCATCCAAACTATACCATTTTTATAAAAATAATAATTATGTTAATTGACATCTTCTTAGGAGTACTTTACAGTTTCCAGTAGTAATAATAATGATGGCAGCCAACACTGAAGAGAAACTGTGTGACAAGTCTGTTTTGTGATTTATAGATAAGCCCTCTGTTCACCATCACAATCCTATGAGGCAAGTGTTATCCCCATTTCACAGATGAAAACACTGAGGCCAGTGAGGCTAAGGAACCTGCCCAAGGTCACAGAGCAAGTAAGCTCAGGAACCATGATATGAACCGAAGGAATCAGGCTCCAGAAAGGCTTAACACCAGCCCAGAGCTTTCTCCTGCAATTCCCATCCTTATTAAATAAATCAAAAAACTTGTCAAGAGGATTTGCTTATCACATTATGCAGAAAAGGGAGTGTGCTGAAAAGGTATACCTCCAAGTTAACGCAGATGAGACTCTGGGCATAGAGGCCTATTTACAGCCTAGACAGATTGGGTGGAGGCAGGTGGGAACCCGCTCCGGCAAAATAAGAATCAGAGCATTTCCCCACATCAGTACGGCCTTCAGCTCAAAGTCCTCAACTATTAGGGAAGGGGAAAATGTTATAAAATGTTTCAGGTTGCTTCATAGTTTATCAAAATGTCTCTCTAATTGTCCCTGATGCTTAAAAAAACATTCACTGGCTGATTTAGTTTTTAAAATCCTAATTATAACTGCAAATAAGCTGATGGCAGGAATGAGGGCAGTAACTGCAAGCAAAGCTAATTAGCTGCAGTGCCCAGTGAACACACGAGAAAATCCATGCGGAGCCTCCCTGCACCCACGATGGGCTCTGTCAGTGTTAATTTTATGTCTGTTTGAACTGTCTCCCTGCCTCTGGGAGGGCTGACACCCTTCATCAAGCTCATACTGATACTGCAGAAACAGTGGGGAGGGTGGCAGGCCATAACCTCCCAACTCACTGCAGGTTCAGTGGGCACCTGTCCAGCTTTCAGAAGTTCCCACAGTGACAGGAGGGGAAGCCCGGCCCACTCCATCGAGCATCTGTGAGAGACTGAGCTGTGACAGAAGGTATGCGCCTGCCTGCTGCCGCGCTGTTTACTCTCATAAAGATGACATACACGCAGTGGTATTTGCTTTTAGATGACTATATTTGTGAAGTGGTAATTTTTTTTTTTTTACTTTATAGTTTTTAAAAGTATTTCCTAAACAGAGAAGCTTACCACTTAATAAGAGCTAAATATATGCCAGGCTTCAACCCAGCATGTTACCTACCTTATCTCCTTTAATCTTCACCAAGATGCTATAAAGTAGAAACTATTATTATCCTACTTTAGAGGGGCTGAAGCCAAGGTTGAAACTCATTAGGGTCATTACTCAAAGTCACATAGTCACTAAGTGTTGGAGAGGGGATTTAAACCCATGCAGTGAGTTAAGGCAACCTTGAGAGGAAGGGACAATAGGAAATACAGATGAGCCCCTACTTTGTCCTGGCTGACACAGGAGGTTTTGTCCTACACATGATCTCATTTATTCCTCACCCAACTCTCTGATAGGTGTGATAGGTCGATCTGCAGGTGTAAAACTGCAGATCAGACAAGACAAGCAACTCACCCAGATGGCCATGACCAGATCATGGTAAAACCTGCCTCAGACCTGGGTGCTCTGACTCCAGAATTCAACGTCTACTAGGCTGCACTCAGCACCACACCCCAGCCTGGCTTGCCCACTACCATGAACACGGTTGCTTGTGCCTTAAACCCACTCGGGGACACACCACCAGGACGAAGGTCCCATCTCCCAGCCTCCCAGGCAGCTATGCTCTGCTCACTGGAATGGGAGGGGAATTCCCAAGTGTGCCCTCAAGGAGCAAAGGTGTGGCTCCCCTGCCCCACTAAGCCCTCTGGCCGACAAGGGGCACAGGAGGAGAAAAACCAGCCTGGACCAGGCGGACAGAGGCAGCACAGCATCCTGGAGAAGGTGGGAATCCAGTGCACGAGTTGAGTCCTATGCCATATGGAGCCACCACACCTGTCCTGGACTAGCATGGCAGATCTGTGACATGAGATCTGTTTCTGTCTATTGGAATTGCTGTCATTTTGGGTCTCTGCAAGAGCCAGACACACACACACCTGTCAGAACACACAGGCCAGTCCTGAAGTCAGATGGGGCAGGCACAGCACCTGAAGCAGCAGGCCCAGTAAGCAGAGGCTGTTTCCCTAGGAGAGGCCTAGCCATGGACATCTGGTTTGAGATGGGCGCCAGCCACTAAGCCCACAGGTCTACCTGCTGCTACAGCCTGCACACTTGCCCTCAGTCAAGCTTAGCTGCTTCACTTCAGCTAGTCCCCGAAAGTCACAGCTGATGCTACTCAATCAATACCGCCAGTCCCAGCCAAGCCAAAGCTCTGCTGTGCGTGGGCGAATAGGAAGCTCCCTGTTCCTCCCCTAGCATCCTCACTGGGCCCCACTCCCGCCACCAGCCATTCTCCATACTGCAGACCCAATGACCTCCTCAGACAGACCTGGTCCTTCTAGTCCCCCTCAGGCCTCTGACGCCTTCCTCTCAGGCTCACGTTTAGGCACAACCCCTGCTGGTGCTTCCAAGGTTCTACCAGACCTGGCCCTGCCTGGCCTACAACTCCTCTCCCGTATCACACCCGCCAATCCGATGGTCAGCCCTGCAAAATGTCCGGCTCATTGCCACTACGGCCCTTGCTGTTCCTGGGTCTGGGCAGCTGTCCCTGAGGTCTTCATCAGGCACAAGGCACACAGGACGCCTGTCCTTACTGGGCCTATTCTACCCCTCCCACATCACACTCCCACCTGCCAGACATGGCCACTGATGGACAGGCTCCTCCAAGGGCCCAAACTGGGGGCTTACCTCTATCACTATAGTCATCAACCAGGATGACTTCTTCTAGCAGGATGTCCGGGGATGTCTCAAGGACACTGTAAACTGTCCGAAGGAGAGTGGACCAGGCTTCATTATAAAATGCTATGATAACAGATGTCTTGGGCATATTAGCATAATCATATTTCTTCTCTCTGCACCTGCAAATACAACACAACTTCAGGAACTGAGACCCCAACCCAAGTTAGTGCCTGGGATGGGAAGACAATGGGGACAAGGTCCCCTGGGAAGTGGGAAATAATCTGCTGGAGGATCTTCCAGAGCCCTCTGTGTGCCACCAGAAGCCCCAGCAGATTCTAAGGTTCTAACCATGACACCCAACCAGCTTTTACTTTGCAATATTGTTTTAGGCTATACAGCAACTTCTAGACAGGAAGGGAAGGAAATTGTCACTTCTCCCTCCCCACCAGATCCCCTTCTGTCTGTGCTCTCCACTCCAATCCCACTTCCAGGCCTGTGCTTAGACTCTTCCCTCTGCCTGGAATGCCCTTTCCTCCCTTCTCTACTTGGTAAACTCCCTGTCCTCTCTCAGGAGCAGCTCAACCCTATTCTCCTCGGGAAGGCCCGGGGACCACCTACCTCAGGCATCTCCTGGCTTCTCGCTGCTCCCCACACACATGGCCCACTCCGGCTCAATTTGTGCCACACGCAGCACTCTGGTGACTCGAGTGCCCCTGTGCCTCGCCCTGCCTGCCACTGGCACCCAGCAGTGTCTAGGCTTGACCTAGGTGTTGTGCTGAAAGCATAAACTAGAACTGGGGCTATAGTCTACCAACACTCCAGGTAGCACTCCGCAGAGGACACTGACCCCTCCCCTGTGTTCCTGCCACCCTTGCTTCACAATGAAGCAGCTGCACCAAGCCGGTGCAAAGAGGGTGAACAAAGAGGGCCATTAAGCTCCTTCTTTGTTCAATGGAATTGGCTGTCACTTTGCACCAAAGGTTCCCTGGTTGACACAGAATTGCGTTCTCAGAGTAACCTGTGACAACCTCCCAGGGTCTCAGGACTGACTGGAAAATCATCAGCAGGAAGTGGTAGATGGCTGAGATGGGAAAGGAACAAAAATCCAAGAGGGACACCATAGAGACACCAAAAGGATGAGAGGTCAAATGCTGGGGGCTTGCCAAAGCTAGACCAAGGGATCAGCAAGGTATTCAAGAAGGAGGTGAAGGGCCAAGGAGCAGCCAGGCTCCCTGGGCAGCCAAGGCCAGGCCTTCCCCGACAGCTCATTGTCAGATCAGAAAGCACAGGAGAGGAGGTGCCAAAGGAGGGACGAGGGTGGAACTCTCATCTGCTGCCTTGTATCACGTGCTATATAGTGCCAACAGGCTCCTTGTCAGCCAGTCACCAAACGCCTGCTATGTACCAGACAGGCCAGTCTCCCATGGAGCTCACATTTCATGGGGGCCACCAATCAAATTAACAAAGCAGCAATTACAGAAAGTAATCATGCTATGAAGAACGTAAACATGGATGATGAAAGCGCAGCTATGGAGGGGAGTGGGAAGAGGGAAGGGACAACACAGGACAGGGGATCCAGGAGGGCCTCCCTGAGATGACACTCAGGATGCGACAAGAACAATGACAGACACAAGCCCCATGAAAGAAGCTGAGGAAGAGCCTTTTGCATGCACAACCGATTTCTGTCTTTCCCCTTTTGTTTTACTATGAAAAACTCCAAACTTACAAACAGGAGAGTGAATAAGAAACTGTTGGGTGCCCTCTGCTCGGTGTCACTGATTCTTTTTTTTTTTTTTTAGAGACAGAGTCTCACTTTATCACCGTTGGTAGCGCGCCATGGCATCACAGCTCACAGCAACCTCCAACTCCTGGGCTTAGGCAATTCTCTTGCCTCAGCCTCCCGAGTAGCTGGGACGACAGGCGCCTGCCACAACGCCCGGCTATTTTTTTGTTGCAGTTTGGCTGGGGTGGGGTTCGAACCCACCACCCTTGGTACATGGGGTTGGCACCCTACCCATTGAGCCATAGGCACTGCCTGAGGTGTCAATGATTCTTAATGTATGGTCAGTCTTGATTCATCTGTGTCAATGGCTATTGCCCCCTTCCCAGATTGATTTTTGAGAAAATCCAGCACAGGGTGGCATCTGTGACTATTTCATTAGGAATGTCTAGCAGATAAGGATCTTTTTTTATAAGAAACACAGTATCTTTGTCAAATCTTTAAACATTAACAATTCCTTAGCACTATCATAGCTCTAGTCTTTAATCCTTCATCAAAGTTACACAGCTGTGGGTTGGAAGACACAACATTCTTGAATGAAACATTAAGTCATGCCTGTAATCCCAGCACTTGGGAGGCTGAGGCGGGTGGATTGCCTGAGCTCACAGGTTCCAGACCAGCTTGAGCCAGAGTAAGACCCCCGTCTCTAAAATGTAGCTGGGTGCCTGTAGTCCCAGCTACTCGGGAGGCTGAAGCATGAGCATCACTTGAGCCCAGGAGTTTGAGGTTGCTGTCAGCTATGATGTCATAGCACTCTACCGAGGGTGACAGAGTGAAACTCTGTCTCAAAAATAAAGTTGGGACAGCTGAAGAAATCTAAGATTGTATGAATTTCCTCAATTTGATACTATCTCTTAGTATCCTGAGAGAGTATCCTCATTCTTGGAAAATACACACTAAAGTAAAGATGGGTAAAGAATGGTTAACCGATGGGGTATAATATTATAGTAGACATATAGAAAGAGAAAAATTGAGCAAATGGGGCAAAATAATAATGGGTGAGTTTAGACGGAGGATTTATAGGAGTTTATTGCACTATTCTTACAAATTTTCTCCAGGTTTGAATTTTTCAAAACTAAAAATTTAATATAAAAAGAAGAAAAAAGTTTAATTTGCAAAGGATATACCCAAACACCAAGCCAATTCTAATCTATAAGTATATATCTCAATCTTAATGGTCCTTACAAATGCCCTCGGCAATCTCATTCTTTCCCAGCTCTGCCAAAACAGCCTCCCCGTGCAGCAAATAAATACGTAAGTTACGGTAAGTGGGAAATAAATGTGTGTGTGATTTATAAGTGTGTCTGGATTATTTAGCTCCTGCATACTAGAACAGGATGCATAGAAAAGCTATATAGTGCTAAGCTGTAGCTCACTAAAAGCGTCAGAAAGAATTACACTGTGTGAAAAAGTCTTTTTATAAAACCTAAAATAAAGATTTTTTTCATCTTTAAAAATAGATGCAGGGCGGTGCCTGTGGCTCAGTAAGTAGGGTGCCTGCCCCATATATTGAGGGTGGAGGGTTTGAGCCTGACCTTGGCCAAACTGCAACAAAAAAATAGCCAGGCATTGTGGAGGGCACCTGTAGTCCCAGCTACTCGGGGGGCTGAGGCAAGAGAATCGCGTAAGCCCAAGAGCTAGAGGTTGCTGAGCTGTGGTGCCACAGCACTCTACCGAGGACAATAAAGTGAGACTCTGTCTCTAAAAAAGTAAATAAATATGCAGACCAAGCAGGGTGGCTCACTCCTATAATCCCAGCACTTTGCTGAGCAAGGCACGAGGATCACTTAGGGAAGGAGCCTGGGCACCAAAGCAAGATCCCATCTCTTTAAACAAATCAAATTAAATTAAACGTTAGCCAGATGTGGTGGCACGTGTCTGTAGTCCCAGGTACTAAGGAGGCTGAGGCAGGACGATCACTAGAGCCCAGGACTTTGAGGATGCAGCAAGCTACGATGACATCACTACACTCAAACCAGGACAAGAGAGCATGACTCTGTCTCTGAAACAAACAAAGAAGCAGCTAAAATTTAGTTTCAAACATTCACAGGTTCTAAGAAAAATAAGTGAAAATAAAAATGGTAGAGTGAGGTTTTCAAAGTAAAGTTTATTCAATGTAAAGAACCGTCCTTTAGTTTAAAATCACATCCTACTATACTGGATTCAAATTTATTTCTTCACTGTTTGACCAAATTTATCAGCCCTTCTTCAGTTATTTTTTTTTAATTTTTATTTTTATTAAATCATAGTTGTGTACATTAATGTAATCATGGGGTACAATGTGTTGGTTCTATATACAATCTGAAATATTTTCATCAAACTGGTTAACACAGCCTTCACGACATTTTCTTAGTTATTGTGTTAAGACATTTATATTCTACACCTAATAAATTTCCCATGTACCCTGATACGATGCACCATAAGCGTGGTCCGACCAATTACCCTCCCTCCACCCATCCTCCCCCCCACCTCCCTCTTGGGCTATAATTGGGTTATAGCTTTCATAAGAAAGCTATAAATTAATTTCATAGTAAGACTGAATACATTTGATACTTTTTCTTCCATTCTTGAGATACTTTGCTAAGAAGAATATACTCATTTTTTGTTTCTGTGTTCTCACTGCTCTGTGAAACCCAAAGGCCTAAGGCTACTACTATCTTAGAATGCCAAGGTAGGCTGTTTGTGTCACATAAATCCCAAGAAAGCTGGGTGCCAATTCATAATTCACAGCCAGAGCTTTAAAATGTTCCTCTTCTCTTTGATCTCATGTCAATACCCTGTCTAAGAATTTCTTGCCTAAGCAATAATAATCAGATACCCTGAAGAAAACTTAAAAACATTTTTATAATATTACTTATAACAATAAAAATCTGTAATTTAATCGTCCAATAAGAAATAGTTGTAATATGGCTTCATGAAGAAATGCTACATGGCCATTGAAAATAATATTTTAAGAGACTATTTAATGATAAAGAATGGTCACAGTATAATGTATCAAAAAAGCAAAGTAGAAATCTATAAATAGCCAATTCTAGAAACAATGATGTGTATGTGAGCATACTCACACATAAACAATAAACAATAGAAAGAAATATGCCAAAAATGTTATCAATGAGTGGGATTGTCATTGATTCTTATTTAATTCTTTATATTTTTCTGCATTCTAAAACTGTCCAACAATGAATATAATTTTTAAAAAGGCTGCATAGCATTTCTTTAGCTCCCTATAGCAAATGCCTTCACTGAGCAATAATTTAGTATTCTGCCTTTTCCTTTTTTTCTTGCCCTAGTTTTTTCTTTTCTTGAAAACATCTCCTAAAGGCTTTCTCCTTTATGAAGTTCAATACAGATGTTCCTCAACTTATGATGGGGTTACACCCCAAAAGCCCATCCTAAGTT